TCCTCCTCCTACTACTAGTACTACTTTTTTGAACCCAGACTCAAATCCTGCACCAGCTGGGAAGCGGCAGCCTCCATGTACTACTACTTCTACTTCTACTTCTACAACCTACTGACTAATGACTACTCACCACTAGCTACTGCTACGCACTGCTACTGCTACTGCTACTCCTTCTACTACGACGACGACTACTTCCAGTACCATCCAGTACCGCCAGGACCAGGAGCTGTACCACTACCACGACGCTACTACTACTCCGCCTCTTGAGGAGCTGTTTCTCACAAAAGATAGCTGTCCTGGTGGCGAGCTGGTACTGCTCCTTTGTGATGCTGAAGCACGCAGAGGCGGAGGTGGCTGTAGACGGCCCAGTGCCTGAACGCGTGGGATTCCCACGGCCTCACCACTACTCCAAAAACTTGTTTATGAATGTGTAGCTTTGAAAGAGGATTGGGCTTCGTCCGGCCTCGTGGGAGGGCGTCGGGGGCTGCAGGTTTCGGAGCTTTTCCAGCTCAGAATCGAGCTTTGCCAGTACCTGCCTCTGGCTCGAAGCCAGCTCTGCTCGGAAGCAGGCCAGGCTCTCCAATCCCGCTTTCATGGCGTGCCGGCTGTAGGGAAGAGGACACTCTGGCCCTCTGGAGTTCAAGCTGAACAAAGGGCAGCGACGCGCGAAACTTCCACAAACGTTCGAAGCTCCGGCTTTTCTTGCTGGCCGCGCAGCACACTAAGGTGGGCGGGCTCAGTATGTGACGAATTGTTCACATATGTATATATATATACAAATAGATAAGTAGATAGTTAGATTCGCATACACGCACACGCACACACACACACACACGTGGCAACCCTGCCAATATTGCAGCTGCATCGTTGCCCTGGTGGTTCATCATCGGGCACAGTATGCCAGAGCGATTCATGAAACTCGTAGCCTTGGCCAGGTCTTTCTGCTGGAAAGCATCCATGCCCAGCAAGGTGTCAAGAGCCTGACCATGTACAATTTCTCTACTGCTTACTATTGTTGCTTGCGGTTGGTTTGTCGACGTTGTTTACTAAGTCACCGTATAAACCCTTCAGCGCGGCGTCCTTTCGTACTCGCTTCGGTGTTGGTTTGCGGTGCCCGATTGACACCGTCCAGCGACCAGATGGTTCGACGTTCACTACAAGCCGTGTTCTTTGTAAGGCTGCACAGTACCATGTGTTCAGAACTCTATTGAATACTCGTGAACACACCATCGGGTAGTCAGGATTTCGGTCTGGGTGTGGACACCAAAGTCGACGTCTTGGACTATGGAGGCCGAAGGGGCCTGGCGGTCAACTTTTGCCTAAATAATCTTCAGCATCCCGGAATTAATTGGTCTTGAACAACTGCCCGGCGCCACGCTGGATAGTGCGGCCATTTTCCTGCAGTTATTCGAGCTTGGAGCTGGAGATCAGAAAATCGACGACCAGCGGTCGATGATCGGAAAGCGTGACCATCGGCCCCTTAGCTCCGACGGGGGGTGCAAACGATAATGTAGGAGCCTTAATAATTAGACTAGGGTTTGGGGGGTTCCTGATTATAATGATAGTCTAATGGGCCCCAAAACCCTGTTCTGATTCTTGAGGCCCCTATGTTACACTTTCTGAAAGCCCGGATAGCGGATCGCCATCCTTCAGAGCCTCCGGAGCCTTGGATTTTAAAAGCTGCCCCCAAAAAAATGCAACTCACTCTGCAAAGCCCAAAGTCTCCAGGTACTTTCAGAGTATTAATGCAGTATAGTGCAATGCAACCCTTTGCACAAAGAGGCCACTCATTGTGCATGCCCCGGGACTGTTCCCCAGCCATGTGCTTTGCCTCAGGTGGGGAAGGTCAGGTCCAAGACGCAGCGGGGCTTGCACTGAATATGTTGCTGCGGTGTAAGTAGAGTTCGGGCTGGCTGTGGGAGGCGACCGGTCGCCAATTGGTCTAGTCACGGATTATCTTTCCCGACATCCTTGATGCTTCGTGAACTGTAGTAAAGCCGACATCTGCAGTGTGCCGGCGAATGCAAAAAAGCCCTGGTGCAAGTATTCTGCTCGCCTGAAGAAGGGCCCAGAGCAATGAAATCCTGTACATGCCTGACTCACAGGTTATAACACTCCCCGGTGCAACCCTCAATCCCAGACCTTATCGGCCCCAAACGATGTAGGCCCTAGCCCTAAAGCCTCGCTTGCAATATCGGCTGCTCCATGGCGTGTCAAATGCCAGCTCCCGTGGATGCAAGAAGGCCTTGGCTTACTGCTTCAGGAGCTCAGGCTGCCTGGTACTTGGCTCTTCCAGACGAGGAGGGCCAAAGAATCGCAAGATGCAATCTCGGCTTGGCCCAAAAACCTGTGCCACTCAAGCCGGATGACCCCATATGCTGCAACAAGCTACTTAGCTTTGAGCAGGTGCTATCCCAGCAGCATCCACCAACGATAGGTGCGGGCTGGAGTGGTAAAAGACCTTGGAACTGGCGGGCTCTAACCCAAAAGCCCAGCAAAAGTGAGCAGCCGCAGCACTTGAAGTAAAACTTTGTGTATGACCTTTATCCGATGTGCAAGTAGTAGTTCCGATCGTTGGTGGTGTTGCTTTCGCTGCTGTTCCCAATCCCGATCTTTCTGCCGTATGCATGTGGGTATACACTCGCAAATACGCGAGTGGGTATGTCCTGGCGCACGAATCACGATCAAGCACGTGTATTTCTAAGGCATGGACGCCATCCCTGCCTTGATTGTTGCGTGCTACAAGCACTACCCTTTGCAGAACATCACGGGTGCTCAGTATGCATTTGAATCTATACTCTTGCTCTTCACCTGTACTTTACGTATTCTCTTCCATCTTCGGCAGTTCTGCATTGTTGCGTCACAATGCTAGTCAATACAGCAACTTGCACACAGCATATTTCTCGGCTTGACTGCATGCTTACACTGCTAATTACACCTAGATCCATCTATCTAGATGGTTGTTACGACATGACAGTACATACCGCAGAAAACAAACAAACAAACAAACAAACATACATACATACATTTGCACAAGTGGAAACGGATGCCCACGGTTTTCGCAAAAGAAGGCTCAACACGTTGAAACCTATTGAATGAAGCTCTGTAGCACTGTTCTTTGCGCTATGCCTGCAGCTACGAAGCGATGATGCTTCGCCTTGCGCCTGAAGGATAACACACCGTGATATACTATAATGTAGTATGAGACGCTAGCATATAATATACTGTACTATAAAGGTGATTCGCCTCCGAGGCTCTGAAGAATTGGGCTGTACCTGGAGCTCCCACACACTATTTAATTAATTGTCCTTCGGAGCTTCCTGCTTCAGAAGCGAAGCTTCCTTTAAACCAACCCTGACATGCTGTGCATGCCACGAAAACACAGAGAGGGTGAGAGAGAGAGAGAGGGAGAGAGAGAGAGAGCGAGAGAGAGATGCATAAATATACCGTATGTACATACATGCCAACATACACATGCACACAAGTTCACATTCAGATACACGTGCAGGGCGGTGAAGACTTGCATGCAGGGCTCACGGGGAACATCTGGAAGCTGGTGTTGCTGGAGTCGTATGGACAAAGCAAATTCAAGCAGGGTTGCAGGGGTTTTCAACCTCTGGGGTGGTAGCTGTCTGTGAGTAGACTTGTAAGCTTTTCAGCCAACTCTAGCGACGCTGAGAGGTGCAGCTCTTGATGTCGAAACCTCTCGCACTTGGCGCTTGAACTTTACACCAATCATTCAATGCCGCGGATCGTAATCCACACAGCCATCCTGTGCGTAGCTGCAGGTGTGCGAAATAGCCCTGGCGCTGGGTTGGATGCCTTGGCAACAAGCTTGTGGAGCGACCAAAGAGCCGCAAATTGGCCGTGACTGGAAATCTTTGTGCTCCGAGGAATGAAGCTCATGACAAGCCTGCAGCTAAGGACATGCAGCTTCGCCACGGAAGGCCCGTCACATGCACCGGCGCTCGGTGTGTATGCACCAAAACAATACAAAGTCCTGCCTGAATGGCACGAATGAAGAGCGGAATGGAAGCCCTTCCTTGGCAAGCATGCATCTTTGATTTAGCACTGCAGGTTCAGAGCAACTATGGTTGGTCGTCGTCTGGATCAACCGCCTCAAACTCTTTCGGGATCGGTTCTTTTGCTTCTCTACTGGTAGAAGAAAAGCTGTCGCCCTATCTTCAGTCAAGCTTGGCGAAGCCGACCCAGTGAGCCGTAGCCCGATGCCGCACGGACCAGACATTGCTGCATCAGAGGCAGCAGCAGCAACAAGGAAACGATAATTATTCGCCAAAGGAAGCAGGAAGGGGCGAAAGGCAATTGACTCCGCGATCATTAAACCTGCATTTGGGCTTCTTGTCTCGACTGTCTCAGCACGTCTGCAGCATCGATGCCCTGTTAGATCTCGCCAAACAACGAAAAGCCTTTCATACACGGTCCATGATCCTCGCAGCCGCATGACGGCCGCAGCCCAACATGAACGTCTGCACAAGGACCCATGATTGTAGCAGTCGTCTTTGGGTGTTCTGCCCAGATTGAAATGCCAAACGAAAACCTTTCCGAATGCGACCCTAAGCACTCTCCATTTAGGGCTTTCGGGTTCAGGGTTATATACCTGTGCAGGCCTTGGGGGTTATGAACTTATACCTGGGAGCTAAAACCTGAGCCTTCGGCCGCCAAGCTGCTCGAAGGCCATGGATACAGGTCGATTCACCAGCTCCGCCCTCTTCAACAGGAAGCAGGGGTTAAGGGTGGCGTTTGGGGTTTCGACTGTAGGGGTTTCGGATTCAGGGCTTTTGTTGAACTTTACTGTGCAGCCTTTCTTTTTGTAGCCACTCAAGCTGTGCAACCCTGTGGGACTGGATTGCTTCGTAGCTCGTGGTGCTCTACAGGGTCCAATTACAGACTACTACGAATTGTTCTACAGGCTGCGAAGCTCACACTCGGACAATCCAGGCGAGGCATCTTCTACAGGTCTAGGATGTTTTGCGATCCGGGGGTGGGGTGTTCGGGAAATGGCAACAGCTCAAGACTAAGGCCCGAGGTATGATGGCAGGCATTGGATAGTTGTGGCAGGGCATGCTGCGGCACGACCCTGATTTCTGCCTTGCCTTACACTTAGTTCAGTCTCGAACTGACAGAACGAACAAAAAGAGTGAACAAAAACCTGCTGGATTAATCGCCTTTGCATGTGAGAACTTGAAGTCAGCCTTCAAAGCCAGGAAAGCCTCCCGACAGGATCAGAGGCCCAAGAGGGATGACCATGAAATCGAAGCGAGTTCACCTTGCAGCCCTTCTACCAGTGTTGGCTTAGGCGTGCAGGATCCTTGGCCCAGCTTCCACCCACTATCGTGCCAAGAAGCGCATAAGGACCAGATGGCTCCAACTCCAAGTGGTCTGAATTCATGTCCTCGAGTGCCAACAAGGGTCAGGGTAGCCGCTTCTGCAAGACTCCGATACCAAACAGTATTATGTAAGCTGGCTGTGGTGAAGCAAGGTCCCGGAGGTGCTAAGGAGCGGCCTCACGACACGAAAAAAGCGCCTTGTGCGCCAATGCCCGAATGCCCAAGAAACAGCACTATGCCTGCTTGCAACACAGACTCTGCGCACAGCAGCAAAGCATCCACACCAGGCGCGGTCAACATAACGTCCAGCACCTCAACAAGTCAACGAGCGACTGGAGTAGCTCGTTCCGAAGAGGACTCGGCTTGCAGCTTGTGGCAAGCTCGTGAGAAGGATGAAGCGGCTGCATCTGCTCTTGCATGGGAAGCCTGAGGCAACGAACTCTTCCCTGGCCTGTTCCATCTGCCGAGGCCGGCAAAAGGGAATGTCATGGCCTTAGGATGTGTGTTGGCCTCTGCACATGATAGGTTCTGGACGGGTGTGGCAGGTTTCAAGCAACGAGGACTTGCGGTTTGCAGGCACGCCAAGGGACACGAAGAAACCGGGTGTTCATGCAGATCAACAGGAGGTGTCACAGGGGCAACATCAACTTTGCGACTGAAAACAATGCACAAGATGGGTAGTTATAAATGGGGTTATAAGTCCCCGAATATGGGTTATATAAGTATAGCTACCCGCACAACCACACGCTTCCTTTGAACTGGCGACCTCAGGCTGCGCTCAGAGCTCGGGCAGAGAGACTAAGATTTTAGGAGGCGTTGGCATGCGTTGGTAATACGTTTGCCTCCCCAGCTGTCAACAAGCAGCAATGCTCTGAGTCTTGGCTTTGAGCTGTCACCTGACAACATGTCAAGGGGGTATGAAACTCCTAGAAGTTCACTTGTGACTACGATGCGGATGCGGGAATTGCTTTGCCGCGACGACTACGGCAGGCCAGATTGATGGCGATGCTGAAGTTGGTTGTAACGATTGGTGACGTGGAGAATGCCAACGCAGGGGCCGAATGATCATGATCAGAAATATATAATTATGCCTGCTACGACCAGGTTCCGCATGAGATGACGAAGCAAAGGATGGGTACGAGCATGGCGACGGCGATCTTGACTGTGAAGATGATCGTGAAGATGCTGGTGCTGCTGGTGGTGGCAGTGGCGGCGGTGGCGTTGGCGTATGTTGGTGTTTGCATTGGCGTTGGCGTTGGCGGCGGCGGCGGTGGTGGTGCTTGTGGCGGCGGCGGCGGTGGTTCAACGATTTATGTTCGTGGTGATGGCGATGGTGATTGTCATTAACGATCTTGGCGTGGATAGACATCGCTTTCATCGGGGCGACTGTGATAGTAATGCGACTGTGGTTATTTGATGCCAATGGTAGTTGTGCTGATCATGATGTTGAAGGTGAGGCAGTTGATGGTTAAGGGTCCTGAGTATGATCACCATGACAGTGAAGCTCAATGTGAGCATGGCAAGCATGAAAATGGATGCGAAGAATGATTTCTGACGAGGCGACGATCTTTTCCGTGAAGATAGGCAAGTACAACATGAAATGGCCATGGTGGTGGGATGACTTGGTGATGTAGCGGCTGCAGCGGCAAGTTCTTACATCACCGGTGCCACTACCTCAGAACCTCAATCAAACCTCATAAACCTCATTAATCTGTTGAGGCTTTGGGCATGGGATTTTGCCATGAGCTTGGGCCCCCGCCATTCGTAGCATGAGCCACCGTGAGATGCGTGTTGGCCACAAGTATCCTGGCAAAATCGGAACTTAGGTATCCCTTCTGGGGGGGTTCCGTTCCCGACAAGAAGAGATAGCAGAGCAGCCAAGGTCAGTGCAGTAGGCTTAGATACTCTTAGTGTCTGCCTCTCCCTCTCTCTCTCTCGGAGCTGGGTTGGTCCGTCAACGGTCCCCTGTCTATGTTCATTCTGCGAACCCAGGACCAGTATCGGTCAGCGTCGGGCCCTGAAGGTGATTGTGCGCTGTGTGCCTGTACCTTGATGCATGGAGAAGGAGAACCTGGGAATCCTTCTGCTGGTTTCTGAAGTCCACCCAGTTCCTGCAGCCAGTTTCCGCATGCGACAGCCAGGCATACATGGCGACTCGGTCCTCGGCTGAAAAAAAGCCGCAGTCGGAAATTTCGAAGCCAACTGTACATCGCTGTGATGAACTCATTCTCTGATTGGTTCAAGCAATTTGGGCCTGACTGCCCTGCCTTGCCGGACGAGGCCAACAACCCTGAAAAACAGTCAACTTTCGGGCTCATCGTGCAAGACCTGATGGAGCGGAACAACTTAAAGGAGCGATAGCCTTGGTACTAACAAAGGAAAGCAGCACAAAAGTCGGGCTCCAAGTGCTGACAGCTCACCTGGCAGGCCGCGGCGGCTCGGTAAGTAGGCTGAGGAGTCTGCTCACCAACACCGCTATTCGATACCTCTGCCCCGACATGGACTTAATTATATAGGGCCCCATCCTAACACCCTTGGCCAACGCTCATCTGTCCCGAGTCTTGCCCAGGCCTGGACATCGGAAAAAGAGTCCCGACGAAACAACATGGCCAGCCCCTCGTTCTTCAAGCCCGTTCCTCGGAGCCGCGGAGCTGACGTGCTGTCTAAAGCAATGCCCGCATGCCGTGATGTTTAATGCTGACTGGACATGCCGGCACTAGGAGCAAGCATTAAAACGGTCGAGATGTAACATGCTGACGTACACCCGAGCCAGAAAATACATCAGAGTGTCGTTGCTTCATCTGCAAGTGGTAGCACTCACCCAGTTTGCTTTGGTACAGATCTGCGAAGCCGGGTGTTTCGGCCGCGAAATCGAACTCCTGCAGGCAGATGATGTCCTCAGCCGGCAAACTGCACTCTGTCTGGGCCCGGCCTGGGCGAAAAATAGTGCCATACAAGTGCACGGACAACATGCGATCATGTTGGGACCGTAATACCTCCTACAGGTCCCACGTGCCATGGCACGCCCCGGGCTGAACATCAACCGCAGCGGCAGCTTTCATGGCCAGGAGTGCATCGCAAATTGCGTTCTGCCGCTCCTGTCTGAGGCGGAAAAACTGGAGGACTTTAGAAATATCGGGGTTGGCAATCTAGGGGCTGTTATAATTTGACCCGGGTCTTGTGGCACATATAGTCTATCTGCAAGGGACTACAAGGGAACATTTTCTCGATTTGTTGTCTTTGATAGGGCGTCTTTCCACAGATCGATAGACCAGGAAATGCGAATATCTAGTAACAATATTCTCAGGAATCGTACTTCTTGGAGATACGCACCATGCAGGTGAGGTGGCTTCACAACAAAAAGAAGTAGCAGTAGCACTGGGAAGCATCAAGGCTGTAGGGATTGTCGATGTCCCGATTTTCGGAAAGGCCGAGCCACCCTGTAAAGAACTTGTGGAGAATCGAGACAGCACTTCCGGTTCTTTGTGGCTTTCCAGAGTTTCGGTTTCAGAACAAAGGATGCTTCCGGCCCCCTGGGCCCGAGGTCTCAGCTCAGTCTTAGCCCCTGACAGAAGTGATGTCCCTCTTTTCCCAGCGCCCTGTATATCCCTAACCGGAAATGCTAAACCTAAACCCTAAACCCACATAAACTCCAGAAGAAGCCTTCCAGGGCCACCGGTCCAGGGGCGCGCAAATCCGTGCTGAAGGCGCCAGGACATTGAAGCCTCAGGCAAGCACTGGTTGGGGAGGACGGAGGTATTGAAAAGTGATACCTGTGCAATTATCTAAATTCGACTGCAATGCCTCAAGGAGAAGACGAAGTAGCGTTGATCATAGCGTCATATAGTCGTAAAAGTGTACATAGAGATCTGATGCAAACTGTCAGGGTTCTGAGGCTCTCCGCCATCAATTGTCGGTCGGCATGCGCATGGTGTACATCGCTTCAACTCAGAGCTGTCGCAATAGAGCTACTCATTGGGCCAGAGGGGGAAGGAGAGGTTCTGCGGCGGCGTCGATGTGTCGTTGGCATGAGTCTATATCACTCGGTAGACAGCTGAGATTAACTGTTGGATGCAGGCAAATCTCCCCAAACATCCTGCGGTTGCACATGTCGCACCCAAAAAACCCTAAGCCCCTTGCTTGCCGCCAGGTGTCAGCAAACCCTCAGGCTCGCGGCTGCCATCGCCGTGCGACGTGGGAAAAGCGAGAGCCCCAGAAATCAGGGCATCGAGATTCTTAAACTCTTAAACCTGGAGGTGGTCTGCGGGCCACGCCTGGGTTGGGGTTGAAAGTGCGAAGATTCTCGAGGTGCCTGGCATGCGTGGTTTTGACGGCACCGATTCAGGTTTCTGAGGTGCCCTCGCTCTGTACATGGCCAAAGTGGGGGGGGGGGGCGGAGGTTGCTACTTAACGATTGATGTTGCTGCTAGTGGCACTAGCAGCTTTACTGTTCTTATTGCTCTGATTGTCGTTTATCGAAACCTGTCACTCCGATCCACAACTGAAACTCACCAGAAACTAAGCTGGTTCGAAGCTCGATTCAGCCGGGCGCATGGCTGCAACTGCCGCTGCAGCTCCAAGACATCTCAAGACTATGACATAAGGAGACATGAGCTACTGCCGCCGAGTCCTAAATTGGTAAGGACCTACCCACCCTAAACCCCGAAGCTTCGGATGGAGCACACTGATTTATCAGATCGAGAAGCTGGCAATCAATCGAGTCCAGCAAGCCTGGGCATCAGTCTTCCAGCGGTCCGAATTGTTGAGGAGGCGCAGCTTGAACTTCGCCTCGACAGTCATTGAAAGTGTCGGCGCGTCATACACTAGCGGCAGCGAAAGCAGTAGAGAAGACTTACAAGTAGCTGATTTTCAGTCGCGGCATGTCGGGGCGGCGGTGGTGGCAGTTGTAGAAGCAACAGTAGCGTGGAAGCAGCAGCGGCAGGAGGAGCAGCAG